GGGGGGGGGTGTGGATCCCAGAAATCACATCATAAATATTATTTTGGCAATAAGGAAATGTCACAAGTTTAGAATATTTAGGATTTTTTACATTGCAGTAGGACACTGTTAAAATCCTGAGAAGGTACAGGAACAAAGGCATAATATTGTTTACGTCAACCTTACAATAAGAAATAACAAATCAACAAAATATTGGCTTAAAAATTGGATTAATTATTTCTGTAAAATGGTTTAAAACTGACAACAAGGTTGTCTGCATGCATAATACAACATCAAATAAAAATAACAATCTACCACTGACTATACTATACAACATGGACTTTCTATAGCAAGTATAACATGACTTACAAATATTTCTGTTCAACGTTTACTTGAAAGAAAGGGGAAGCTGTTATCGTGAAAGTACAATGTAAGATACGATATTCAAGTGCCGCTTTATCATCAGTTCAGATAAATATTAATTTTGTGATACTTTGTCCCATTGCATTTTTTTCCAATTTTTCTGATGAATTTTTAAATTTAAAATCTAAAAACAAGCTGACCCTTTGCTCTGTGGGTTTTCCTATATACAGTAACCGCCCCCTTTACTCATTCACCCCTCAAGATACATTTGAACTCTTCCGATTCAAAAGTTGGAATAGTTCATTATGAAACTTCAGGGGTGAATGGCATCCTAATTTTAGGACACTTACAGGTAGCTCAATCGGTTAGAGGGATAGTATGACAATCTGAAGTCCAGGGTTCGAATACTGGTCTAGCCCAACTTAATTTTTACACTCGAAAAACTATTGCTCATTTCATCTTTATCCTTTCTACAAAAAAGTTCTTCAAGATATGGTTTCCTTCTCAGAAATGATTTACCGAAGCTATAGTCATGCTGGAGAAGAAACAATTTCCAAAGAGTTGTTTCTGTTTTTAGCAGCGGTGCGGGGGTCCTTAAATGAAAATAGAACAGTCTAAGTTGTCTTAAAGCGAACCTTTGGAGAAATCTTGAAGACCAGGATTAAACTTAACTGGCCTATTTGAAAAAAGTTGCATTATTCAAAAGAAGACAAACCATTTATTTTACATCTTGTGTACTCAAATCTGAGAAGCTACATTAAGTTTCATGGTGGAACGTTCAACCTCATATGAGAGAATTCTAATAAAATAGATATGATGCTAAATAAAAGATAAAGTATATGGGTAATATTTCTATTTGTGAACTGTGATTTTGTAAATGATCAATAATATGGAGCTTCTCAAATTTGAGAAAAATTTAATAAAACTATGAGTCAAGTCTTGTATAGATCAGCAGCCAATGAAATTTGACGACAAGGCATTCTGAGACGCAATCTGTCCTGGATTCTATAAGGCTGTGTTTGATTGGTGGAGATGGGACTGAAGATAGTACTGTAGCTGATGCAAAGGGCCCAATCACACATTACTGAAGTGAACTCATTCACCCCTGAAATTTCATAATGAACTATTCCCATCTTTGAATTGGAAGAGTTCAAATGTGTCTTCAGGGGTGAATGAGTTCAATGTTAAATTAGCAATATCTTGAAAATTATCAAAACTTCAAATATTCATAAATGGGATTCAATAAGATCACCTGCATATTATATACACAGAAAATAATCACATTTCTATACATATTTTTTCAAACAAATTGATGTTAAAAATTTGACCTAATTAACAAATCAATTAGCTGATGAACATTGACATAATAAAATCCTGTTTCCGACAAACCTGGCAAATGAAGAACAAAAATGGTCAAAGGAAAGATAATGCTTCAGGTAGTCAAAAAAGCAGCATATTCACAACCGACATGTTATAAAATTCTAGCACATAAAATACTCAAAATAACATAGATTATAAAAATTAATGGAGGGGAAAAGACAGAAAGAGTTCATACAGAAAACAGAAATCTCCAATGGTAAACACAGGTTCTGTGGTTAAGTAAGCCCCACCCCCCTCCCGTTGTAAATCATTCTGACTTTAAACAAAAAACCCTTGCTTGAGCATGGTCATCAATAAAAATTCTACCCTTCCCATAAACACACAACCCCCACCCCCCACCCCCAAAACACACATCACACCAGCCTTGACCTCCTTCACTGACGGTTACTACCCTTTTGGGTTTTGTGCTTTCACCATTTAAAATTTACACATTTCTTTAAAGATTTAGAATTTTCTCAGGGTCCCATCTAAATAAATTCTTATTCACACCCACAAGAAGCCCTTATGCATGTGATGATTTTTTTTTAAAGTTCTATATTTTCTTAATAGATTCAAGTGAATTTAGTCACATTCAATTCTTGATCAAAATACAATTTTTGAAATTTCATACATTGTCCAATACCTAAAATATATACTCCATATATTTTTTCATATATACAGTACCATGCCATGAATATAGCCATAAATCCGAAGAAAGAGAGGGTGCTCTAAAAATTTGGCCAAGGCTGACCTAATCTACAAGAATTTTAAAGATAACTTTTCTAATAGATTTTTACCTCAACAAACTCTACATAAAACATTTTGTGCCTCTCTGTCACTAAATCCTGGATCTGTGTGATAAATTTTATCAATTTAAAATTGTTCCATTTCTTATACATAGAGAACTCACTGATCAAAGGCTGCGGATTTTAACACTCAAAGGCTGCGGATTTTAACACTCAAGCACTCCCCCCCACCTAGACAATATATTATTACACGCACACACATCCCCCTAAACCCCGAAAAATGGCAAGTACCTACAGGCATTGATAACAAAATCGTAGAATTCCACTCCTGGTGTTGTACACTAAAACATTATCACAAATCTGGTAACAATATGTGAAGTTATAATAAATGAAAACATTTGGGTTTAACAACACAAACTCCTTCCTAAGAAGGTGGAAAGAACGGCATCGCTAGCAACGACAATACAGGATTTGTAATAAAACAACCACAGGGCAAGCTCCTTTGCCTGTTTTTTCTGCGAGCTGTTGGGTTCAAGCACACGCATATTTACAAATTATATCATGATTTTTCGTAACATCTGACTCCAATCAAGAAAGTCACATTATATTTTTGTCTTGCATTTCACATTATTTTGCATTTTCACTCTGAATTCCTGAGCTTCAAAAAATCAATTGAATAGCAGCAACCCATAAGACACTACGTAACATAAAAACAAAGTTATCTCCCCCTAACAAAAAATTAAAACCTTTAAGGTAGAGAGTGCCAACTCACTGATTTATCTCCAACATAAGAGAGTTCACATTTTTTCACTATTTTTTTCGTCTTGGAGTTGCTTGCCCATTTATAATAAGCAAAGAGTTAAAAGTAAAAGATTATTACAATTTCCGTTTCTATAAAACTATTTCCACCATGAGGATTTAATATCTTGATAATAAAGCCGAGGGGCTTATCCACTGTGCTACCAGTCAGGATATTTGATATTCACTGTACTGATACTTTTTTACTTGTTCCAACTCCATGAAAAGGACAACAAGCTAAAACTGTCTTCTTATCAAACATTAATTTAACAGGAAAATAACTCTTCAAGACCTGTATATTGTGGAAATGTGATGGGGTGTTCTGCTTTAAGACCTGTATACTGTAGAAAAGTGATGGGGTGTTCTACTTTAAGACCTGTATACAGTAGAAAAGTGATGGAGTGATCTACTTTAAGACCTGTATACAGTAGAAAAGTGATGGGGTGTCCTACTTTGAGACCTGTATACAGTAGAAAAGTGGTGGAGTGATCTACTTTAAGACCTGTACAAAGTAGAAAAGTGGTGGAGTGATCTACCTTAAGGCCTGTACAAAGTAGAAAAGTGGTGGAACTCTCTACCTTAAGGCCTGTACAAAGTAGAAAAGTGGTGGGACTCTCTGCCTTAATACATCTGATGTTATTTCTAAAAATACAACCGACTGGTGACCTAATTAGGCTTGTGAACAAGTTAACAAGAGGAAACAATCAATATAATCCAGTATATACAAGGATTAAAAAAGGTGTTATTCTGTAACATTAGTTCCCAATGAAAATAAATGTTGACATCTGTGAATGATGTAAAAAAAATAATCCCTCTTTGACCATGATTTCATACAATGGTTTTTCTTTTTCAATTGAGCATACACAATCAATGATTTCATATTTTCTGTATTTTTGTTATATATAAAATATGGATATACATGTAAAATGATGCTGTTAGATTAGCTACCCTGTTGAATGAAGTCACTCCCACCTTGGTATTAGACATTTGTCAAATGTCAAGGTCACAGTCTGTTGTTATCATTTGTTTTGACCTTGACCTTTTAAGTGTTCCAAGGTCACAGCAATGACCTTGACTTTGACCTTCACAGTCTGTAACCTTCAGTTTCTGACATTTGCCACAAAGAAATTCCAAGGTCACCTCAATAATTCTGAATTTGAAGTTCATTGTTGCTCTCTTCAGGTACCGACCTTGACCTAATAGGACAGATATGACCTTGACCTGGCCCTATGAGAGGTGGGAGGATGCAACTAAAGTGATCATCAGACTTGGTAACCAGGGAAACATTCACACAACAAATTTAAACTCTTGGCACCAATTAAGATTAAAATGTTTAAAAAAAAAGAACTTTTATAAAAGTCCCTAGCTTTTCATATTCACCATTCAACAAAGGAAGTATTAAAATCTATATTGTTTTGAGACACAGAAACCCAATACAACAGGGAAGCACTGATCTGAAATGGCACAAAGAAACCATATAAACATGCCGATAAAATGGCCTGCAATTTTAATTTCTTTTCTACAAAAATAAACTTTACATAAATTTCTATACCTTATCATTCTATGAAAGGTCTTCAACCTGATCAGTAACTCAAACTCTAATATAAAAGCATTAATGCTCATTATTATTCATGACACGCTGTAATAATCACCAGAATTATCATTCTCAATGGTATCATATGTATACATACAGTAAAACTTCAATATAATGCCCCTCTTTTCATTTGCCACCTTGTTCACTGCTAGCATATTTTGAGGGCCCTTTTTTCATTTAAGCGTTTTCCTCAATTTATCACCAAACCCCTTTATAACGCCAAAATTTCTCTGGACAACTGGTGGCAGTATAACGAGGTTTTACTGCATGTTCTTCAATATTTTTTAGTGTAACAAGAAAATTATCACCAAAAATCATTTTATCTTATGAAAAATATTCAAAGCAAATTTTATATTTATTGTATTTCCTTAACTTCTTGTCACAATACTACAATATAGAAGGATATCTAAAAAGAATCAATATTTCATTTCATTAGCTGAAATAGCGTATATTAACACCAAGCATGTACAATCTAATTTAATACGCTAGCAAGAAGATGCCTTTGGTAAGCTGCATACCATTATTTCTCAACTTACCTGTTCAAATGTACAATACAATAAATTGTTCTATCCTATTTACAAGACCCAGTGACATATCTAGAGGGGCCCAAAAGGGGAGTCGTGGTTTCTATATATAATCAATGTCTTTTCGTCATTTTCACAAATATTCAGTCTTTTTTTTCAGTTGGAGCCCCTCAAGCTCCTTTAAAAAATTATGGATCTGCCTCTGGAAGTATATAAAGAGTTCAGCAGTAAAACTGTCAATTCTGCACAGCAGTACAAACAAAATTCACACTCTCTCTTAAATTTCTTTGAGCATTTATGAACATGTTAAAAATGAAAATCATATAAGATTATCTATTTCTTCCCAATATCCCCATATTTTTCATTTTTTCTTCAATAAATGTAGAAGAAATTATCAAGACTTCATTCACAATTTTATAAGAACGGGTAATACTGCTCTCAAGTTTCACCCATCTCCTGACCCAGGGTCCGGATGAATATTGAACACAAGAACATGAATACTAACCTTGTAGATTCTCGACAACATGATTAATTAACCCTTTAACCACTGTAGACCATAATGGACTTATCTAGATCAATGGATGGTAGAGTTGATTAAAGTTACATAGGGGTGTGAAATAGTTTAAATGCTATGACTAAAACTGGCAAAATAATATACTTCCCAGTTAAAAGACATTATCTGCAGAACTGGTTATTTTTTTATATTTTTTTTCAAATTTCGACATCCTTCCACATGACAGTTCAATGCTTTAATTTTATTACAGGGAAGATGTGAGAAAATCATGGAATCGGAGTTTGATATTATGAATCTATAGTTTTACCATTTTCTTAATATCAAGTTCAGGTTTTATACTATCGCAAGGACAAGCCCATCATGATATACACATAAAATATATCTAATACTAAATTTCTTTAGTCAGACCTAGACCACATGTATTGCCCACCCACTGAAACTTAAAAACATGAAATATGGCCATGTTGGGATTGCACAGTTGTCTCCCTTGCATTAAATTATGCGAACTCTTCAATTCTGCAACTGCAATGCATGCGTATGCTAAACACATTTAAATACAAAGGTCAAAATTTAACATACATACAGGTCCAAGTTTGGTGTACATGAAAAAAAAAGAAGTGAATTACAACGTACCACGAAAACACTTTAAAACCATCCTTTTCCTTGGCATATGCCATACAGATATATTCAATGTCTTTGTCCTCTGTTATCTAGTATAATCTCCATTTCCATATAAGTATGCTTAAGAGAAGAAAATATAAAATTGTAAGTTTAGGTCCATATAGGATATAGTGAATTCTTTGTTGAAAATTTTATTTCAATAATCTTCTATGGAAAAATGAGAAATATTTCATAGAAAGTCATATCTGCTGTATGAAGCAGACATTGTGACTTTCTATTGAATAATTTTCATTTTTCCATTCATATCTGATATAGTTGACTCTTTCCTAATATAGGGTATAGTGAACTCTTTGATTAAAAAATTATTGTAATAATCATCTTTATACAGCAGATATTATGCCTTTCTATGAAATAATTCTCCTTTTCCCATTCACATCCGATATAGTTGACTCTTTCATAATATAGGGTATAGTGAACTCTTTGTTTAAAAAATTGTTGTAATAAACATCTTTATACAGCAGATATTATGCCTTTCCATGAAATAATTCTCCTTTTCCCATTCATATCCGATATAGTTGACTCTTTCATAAAATACACCTGGATATGAAATCTTTCTTCATTGCATAGATAAGGTTCTTTTATAATGATATACGCCTTACTTACAGGATGTTTATATTACAAATCTTGTGAATTCTCCTGGAGTTTAATTATGAAAAGTAGCGACGCTTCACCTGTGTTTGAAAAATGGTGACCGCCTGTATTTTATCAGATATGGTTAACGAACATGTCAGTTTAAAAAAAAATCTCCATTTCCTTACTTGGTACACAAGAACTTTTACCTAGTGGAATATTTTCCCTCCACTGCGGAAAATTTTCACACAGAGAAAAACTACATATGTATTTTATAGTAAGATGTGTATTAAATGATAAATTTTCCTGGCTTACGGAGGGTTAAAATATTTCCTGATGTACATTTTTTTCTTTCTTAATAAAGGTTATTGAGTAAGTATATTGTTTCCTCTACAATAAGAATACAGATCAGCAATATATGTCTTGACACTGTAACCAGTATATGGTAAAAAAAAATAAAAAATGGCCTGGCATAAGAACATGTGAAATAAATATAGATATTATTTCATTTTTCTCAATACATAGAGCGAATATTAACTTTTGTAATAGTATACGAAATCTCCACCATATTCATATAATATTTTATCATATTTTATATAAAATTTCATGAGTATTATGTACGTAGTTCACTGGTAAGTACATGTACAACAAATCATAGATATAGATACAATATCATCATAATTCTGTCCGATAACTACAATAGTTCCGGGAAACCCAAAATCCCTGCATGATAACAGTGAAATGTTGTCAAATTATATGGTATATTTTAAACAGTTTATAATATATACCCGACTAGGTATTTTGAATTAAAAAAAAAAAAAAAGATTCTCCGATTTTCTTTCATGTTATGCTTCCCTGCGAGTACATCTATACACTTTTATAAAAATATTGAAATTTATATAAAATCATTGATGGCAATATCCATATTTCATATGTTTTATTTCTGAGAAGAAATATTTGACCTTTAAATCTAAAAGCTTGTAAAAATTGTAGGTGACAGGATAAGATAAACAGTTCAGTATTTACTGTCTGAACTTGAATACACATTTGAACAAGACATTTTTTGCGAGAAAGTCTTCCAGCCAAACTTCACTTGACAAAGACCTACCATCTAACATTAAAAAACAGTATGATGTATTATCAATGATTTTATGATTTAGACACAATTGTAGGTTGAGCAACATGGTATACTGTGTGTAATACTTCATTTTAAACAGTAGGTCATTTCATTTCAGTGAATGTGTTTTTTCTAATTTTCGTTGGAAGTTTTCTAGATCCCGACATTGACTGGTTATCTCCGTTCTAGTTTCCACATCTGCCCCTAGGTGTCACTTGAGAAGCGAGGCCGTCCAGGAGGGCCGAAGTTGTAGTTTTCTACAAAGGTTCCCGTCGGACGATACTGCAAAATACAAGCAACTGCAATGAATAGCAAGTTTAACGTGATAACATGCAATCAATAGATACCACAATATATAGTCAAGAGCATCTTGTGAATTTGGGTTAAATACTCTCAATATATAGATCTTCTCTGTACCATTGGACTTTCTTAAGAGAGAACTGAAGGCTCAGAGCGGATGGATGGTCGGGTAGTATAGTGGATAGCAAACTTTCACCAAGACGACCAGAGTTTGATTCCCCTATCGCATTTGAAAAGGTATAGGGGTCACCTAGCTGCCTGATCACGTAGGTTTTCTTCGGGTACTCAGGTTTCTTCCCACATAGAGAGACCCCAACCCCTCGCGATAACAACTTTGCCAACAAGAGAGATTAGTATAAGTTGTAAAAACTTGTTTCAAATTCAAAATTGTTGCAAAAATAAATAAAGTTTATATATATTTATTATATATAAGGCTCGGAGCCACACTAGATAGTGCCGGTCAACTTCACAGTTAAGCTGCGGTACAATTTAAATTATCTTTTATCACAGCTCTGATTACTCAGAGATCAAAGATATGTACATCCTTGATACGCCTGGGGTTACGCTCACTTTCGCTCTCTGCACCCCCAGAATATGTCATAGTAAAACCGATGGCTCAGTGTGCGCCACCTTGTGGACGAGACAAGAGGCCTACGTACTGGGGAAGTTGATCCTTTGATGTACATCAAAAGAATTTTGCATTTTGCAGTCTCGTAACAGCAAAATTGATTATCTTCGAAATAGGGTCCTCTGTAATCTTCAAAGGACAGATATCAGCATAGCAATGCAATTGGTCAGTAGTTTTTTTTACCCGAGACCAATCACATAGCTCGCCATGTGCCTTCAATTTCACAACGACAAATGCCAGGGGTGCAGAGAGCAAAAGTGAGCCCAACCCCTGGAGTATCAAGGGTGAGATATGTAAGGCTCCAATAATACCTTCCACACTGGTCAACTCAAGGTGGGGCCTGAACAGTCTGGGATTTTTTATGCAAAATGAGGAAATTCAAGGGTGCAGAGTATATGTAATTTTTCAAGTAGAACACTTGGTTTTCAAAGAAGAGTGGAAAGTGATATTTGCATTTAGCATATTTAAAATATGATTAGAGCACAGGTAAAGAAGTCCTTAAATATATACCGATAAAACGTCATAACAGAAACCATTTCAAAACGATCCTGTCTAGGGCCAGAACAATACATGTGTATGGTATGTTGACTGAGATAGCAATGAAAAATGCCTTAAAGCTAAAATATCTACAGTCTCAGCGAGTGTTGACATCCATGTTTGATGATAGCTAGGTAGATAACAGCAGCTAACCTGAATCATCAACACCTACGATAACCACTTTCTTCCCATTGCATATGATCTTAACTCTTTCACCCCTGAAGACACATTTGAACTCTTCCAATTCAAAGGTTGGAATAGTTCATTATGATATTTCAGGGGTGAATAATTTAAGGAGCTTTCAATACAAAATTCACAATTTCTATTTGATAATGAAATACTATTGCAGTTTAATCGATCAAAAACTGTCCCTCAGAAGATTCAATTTTACTTATGACTGAAAGTCTTTATGATCAATGACAATGTATTATGAACTTAAGCTAGAATTTTACTTGCTGCTTTTAATTTCTGGCCAGCATTTTACCTAACTAGAATGCCCTTCATGTCCTGAACTCATTCACCCCTGAAGGCACATTTGAACTCTTCCAATTCAATGGTTGGAATAGTTAATTAAGATATTTCAGAGGTGAATGAGTTAACAATATTTTACCTATACATCACTTTGATAAGGTTTGCTTGCTGACAGAATAAACATGTAAACTTCGAATTGATGGATTTATTATCTTTTAGTGCTCCGGACCACAAAATAACAGCTGATAAATACGGCGCTTGTAATATAAACGTCTATGGACTACAAAACAGGAGTTTTAAGACCTAGAAAGTATACAGAAAACTCGACAGTTGTCCAATGTTATCAGACTTATCAACGATCCTATTTTTAAGTCAGGTACACAGAATCTTTTCAAATTAAGAAAATTCCTGCCAGTAGTGTATGTTTTCATTGTATGTCATTTATATAGAACTTTTACCCTTTCATACAGTCATACAATTTATCAAAATGTGTTTTCTACATATTTTTTAAATGGAAATTCCTTGCTTGGAGCTATTGTAAACAAGCTTAATTTTCTTCTTTTCATGACGTTTTTATTTTCTTGGCATGCAAGTTCTAGTTTTAATTTCTACATGTTTCATAGCCCGAGTTTCCTCTGGCCCTAACACCAGACTTAGACATTTTGACATATAGATGTATGAAAACGTGGAATTTTCTATGTCAAAATGTCTAAGTCTGGTGTCAGGGCCAGAGGAAACTTGTGCTACATAATTATTTCACTAATCCGTTCCCTCCCAAAACCAACTTTGAGATGAAGACCTCTCTCTAGACAATCTTATATAAAGAACAAAAATTTGGAAATGTCGTAATAATCTTTTTCATTTTTTTTTTTCATTTCATCAACATTATCAACTATGCAAACTTATATTATTGTAGCATAAAGACATTTTGTTACTGGGTTCCCTTATAGCAGGAAACTCAACACCAACCCCTCCCACCCCTACCCCTAAATTCTATATACCCGGTAGAAGGATTTGTCATCAGGAGAAACCTTTTAGAATTCCTGTATATACAGGGACTCATTAGTGAAAGGGTTAATGGCAAAATGTACGTACCGAAAAATAAATTTTATTTCTCTACAAGACAACTTCCACACTGTACATAACTCAAGTGTTACGAGCCTGCGTTTTATAAATTTCAGTCATTGTTATGTAAATTAACACATACCGATATCTGCTCTGAAATCTATCATAGAAGTATTTGCATGAACTGTTTGTTCAGACTTACCATAATATGTTGCGAAATGTAGATTTTCATTCAATCGTTTGATTTGTACTATACAGGGCGATTGTTACTATAATCTGATCACTCTACACTATGCTAATAAGCTTGGAATACTACCAACTGAGACAGCATAATTCATGCAGACATGTTACAGCCTTTATCGTTTGTAATCAACCAACATTAAATGTATGTTCATGCACACTCATGCAGTACTCACCCCTGTATGCATATACTTGTATACAGAGGAATTTTCACTACAGTTTAATTTTTGCCTTTTTTTCACCAGCCGTGATAAGGTCAAATTTATCATTATACAGGAAATGTATTCAATTAGCATAATATTCAAAGGAATTTAAATGTTAATTAGGACAAATTTAACACTGGGAGAAAATTGATTTCATGGCAAAGGGCTTAAGTTTGACAGGGCTGAAACTTCCCGGTATACAGTATTATTACATACTTACTAATAAATACGGGATTTTTGTATATGCGATACGACACAATTGCTCTAACCCATATCAGCCCTCGCCGTATCACACCCCAAAACTTGTATCAGCCCTCGCCGTATCACACCCCAAAACTTGTATCAGCCCCCGCCGTATCACACCCCAAAACCTGTATCAGCCCGCAAAACCCATATCACAACCCTTTTGGAAAAAAATTTGTTTTTCAATATTTCAACAATAAAAATAAATCATAAGATAGTAGTTTTTATTAGTAAGTATGTAATAAACAGATTAAAACATGCCTTTTTCCATATCACACCTAGTATCAACCCTCAACCAATATCAGCCCTCGGGCTGATATTGCAGTCGTGGATTGATACTTGGTGTGATATGGAAAAAGGCATGTATTATTCTCTATGTATCACACAACATTTAGATACAAAGAAACCTGTTCAATCTGACCACTGAATATTTCAACATCCTGTCTAATCCAACATAAGTTCCAGTGGTTACGCTCCCCTTTGTACCCTGCACCCCTGGAATATGTTGCAGAGATCTTAGGAGAGCGTGAACCCGGGATTCATCCATTTCAAGGATGAGATAATTAAGTAATTAAGACCTGTAAATTCTGATATGTTGTATCCCAAAGGGTGTCAGATTAGACAGGTTTCACTGTATTTTCCTACATTATGACACCTTCAATGACAGTAAAAGTGTTGATAACATTGATACTGTTTTAAGTGCGATCATAAATTTTAGACCTATATACTTACCTACAAATATATATATATTGATACCAAAAGGTGGTTCACTCGTAGCTTAATGTAATGTATTATATTTATTGCATTAATGTGTTAGTAATTGTTAAAGAAGAATATATAGATAACACTGTATAAATCAGATCACAACACGGCTTTGTACGAATCGTGGCTACAGAACTCACACACTTTACAAAGCCCACGAAAACACACACTTTACAAAGCACACGGAAACACACATTTTTCAAAAACGGAAACTTCACACACATTTGATGAAGTTACAAATCTCTCAAATGTGTTTTGATTTCCACGCTGAAATAAAATCTACCTCACAGCACAAGTTATAACGTAAACTAACTTGACAACACAAAATACATATTAAAGGGAGGTAGCCCTGGTCATGATTGAGTTGTAGGAGGAAGCATAGGAAGTCATAAGTTATAAAGGAACAGTCACACAAGAAACAAATCACTGTCACATGTCAATATTCGTCTTACAAAAAAATAAAGATCTCACTAACTTTGAACTTCAATGACTGACCTCCATTTTGTGTAACTGGCTTGAAGCATTATATTGAACCCTTCCAGCAAGCCAGACTTTTGTTCACATGCTGAAGAGTGTTATGACCATGCTGATGCATAGTGTATTAAGTTTTCGCCGCCACCTTCATTAGGAAAGACACCTTATTAAAGTGACGATACAATTACCGTACATGACCTTATCAACACCCAGGCCAGGGAACATGAACAATTACAAAAATTGGAAAATGGAGTTAATTAAGAATAATTTGAGAATATTTTGTGAAAAAAGGCAAATTTCGTCATTTTAAACCAGAACTGTTAATGGTACTTTTAATGCTGAACAATTTTGTCCACAATATTTAAAGAGCAAGTCCAGGTATCTTGACAACAAGAACAAGTATATTTAATTCATAAACGTCTGCCCAATAAATTTTCCGTAATTGAGCAACTTTCACATTCAGGCGAATACTTCAGCTTAAACCTAAAACGGTGAATTTTCAGAAAAATGTCAACATCATGCCTATTGTTTCATTTCCCCATCTTGCTTGACATTTCAATATTTCAACGTCCTTTTTTCTATTTATTTAACACATTCCTTTCAACATCTCTCTCAATATATTGACAAAAATCTCTATCACGCAAACATTTGACTGAAATAACAGCATTTAAGTGATGTTTTACTATAACATAATTTTTAGAATTATAAGACGTATTGGACTTTTTCACTCTATGACTTAAGCATATTTGTGACCCTGGTTGTAAGTAACTGCCTGCTTTAATTTATGCGAACATTAACCATTTGACATTGAATTCCCAATATTAAGGATTCCTCTCCCACTGCATTTGGCTTTTCCTATATAGAGTGACCTCCCCTTCATTTCATTTTTGGATACCGTATATTTATAGCACAATTTAAGTTGGGCCAGAGCACTTCAGTTGACCAGGTCGCTCAGTCGGTTAGAGCGATAGTATAACAATCAGAAGTACTGGGTTCAAATCCTGGTTTAGCCCTGACTTTTTTTACACACAGAATGCTGCTGTAGATTATATGAATGTTTATTTCATCTTTATTAATTTTTCATGAAAATCCTGCAGGGTATGGTTTTCTTTTTCAGAAATGATTAATAAAAGCTATATATTCAAGCCAGAAAAATGTTCAAATGCATAGATACACTTTTGGCAGTGGTACAGGTGGTACTTTCAATTGAGTGAAATAACTGAAAATCACACGGTACATGGGATTGGGTCAAGACTCATGCAGAAGTTGTTGATAGTGGCCAAGGTGGATACAATTACATCAGGAAAGTTACGGTGCAGACATTCAACAACATGCATACGATGCGGTGCACAAACTTACTGCAGGTGGAGGAGTCTCGGCTAAAGGTCCTTGCATAGGAAGTATCTCACTTTCGGGGCCGTTGTTCAAACTGCTGAATATAACAAACACATTAAGTGTCGGTGAATGACAAGCCCTACACCACAGCCATACCATACTGTCACATTTCGTGTACAGATACAACTGAACACACATCCCACGTAATACATGTACCATTACCATACCGTACCGTCACATTCCGTGTACAGATATAACACATCCCACGTAATACATATACCATTACCATACCATACCGTCACATTCCGTGTACAGATATAACACATCCCACGTAATACATGTACCATTACCATACCAATCTCGTTCAGTGTACAGTAGATAAAGACCTATGTTATAACCATACCACACTCCATGTATTATATCCATACGATTACATCAGCGATTACCATGCCAATCATGCACTGTCATGGTACAGTCAAACTGTGAAATTTACTGTAATTTATCTTATTGCTCTGTTCTTCATCTCCAACCCCTCCACCCCTCCCTTCTGGGGAATGGTGTTGTGGATGGGGAATGTCAGCCCCTTCCTGAGTATAGATTCTGAAGTCAACTACAGTACATAGTACAGGCTGAAAATTACCCCCAAGTCTCATCAAAATCTGACAGAAGGTTTCTGAGGATAAATAAGTATAACATATTATTGTTAAACTTATTCACCCCTGAAGACACACTTGAACTCTTCCAATTCAAAGGTTGGAATAGTTCATCGTGAATTGAAACTTCAGGGGTGAATGAGTTAAGCACAACTTACAATGCATGATGCTGGATGAAAGGCCATTTGCAAAAGGCCATTTAAACATGTTAATGATGTTGGGTCACAGCTTCTTGTTTGTATTCCTTAAACTTTCTCCTGCAAAAATGATAACTTTGTCTACGAGGAATGATAAGATCTGCAAATATCTCGAGGGACGGTTTCCATCTACACCAAAAAACTTGTATTGTACATCGTTTCTTTCATGAAAGGGGCACTACTGGTATATATAAGGGTAACTTGTTCAAATGTCAAATATAGTACACACACATACACATATGTGTGACACTTGTCAAAAGGTTAAATAATATTCACACACATACATACTGGACATCTGTCAAAAGATTAAACAGTACACACATATGGGTGACTCTAGTTAAAATATCAAACAGTACACACATATGGGTGACCCTAGTTAAAAGATCAGACAGTACACACATATGGGTGACCCTAGTTAAAAGATTAAACAGTACACACATATGGGTGACCCTAGTTAAAAAATCAGACAGTACAGACACCAGCAACTGTCAATACAGCTAAAGGATTAAACATTCCACACTCACATGTATAGACACATACATATACATAAGTCAATAGTATTACATACCATATATAATACTAGTGGAATCATATTGAACTTCATAAAACACACCACACAAAACAAGAATAATATTTCCATATTATATAAACACTCTTAATAGTTAATGATATTTATTTCCTTGTATCTTGAGTAATAGGGTTCATGCTTTTCATATGTATGAAACACCACACAAAACAATAATAATATTTCCTTATTATATAAACACTCTTAAAAGTTAATGATATTTATTTCCTTGTATCTTGAGTAAATAGGGTTCATGCTTTTCATATGTATGAGGTCAGGAATTATTTTTAATGTTTTGGACTTTTTTACTGGCATTAAAATGCAGTGTACATGGTAATGAAATAATGCATGGATATATAATAATTATAATAATAATAACAATAATTTGAGGTTCTTATATACCGCTTTATCACAACCTAGTTCGTAGGTCGTCTCAAAGCGGTTCACAAATGATTATCCATGGTTATAGGGCCTTTGCAACCAGCCAATATCTTTCTTAACTCCCTTGGGAGCATACAGCCGGTGCTGCCATTTCGGTGCTCACAGTTAGCATTCTACAATTCTAGCACTGCCCAACCACATACTCATTTACAGTCGAGTAGACTGGAACAAGCAGAGTAAAGTATCTTGTCCAAGGATACAACACAGTGCTGTGACGACTCGAACCTGCAACCCTTCGGTCATGAGCCTGGCGTCCTACCACTAGACTACTGTGCCTCCTGATATGTATTATTCTACATATCTGCCAAAAAATCTGTTTTAGTACAATATCCTGCATGATTTCTTATCATTATGTGTGTGATTTTGAGGAACAAACATGCTGTTGATTCAACATGAATTTAATCTAAGCCATTTTTATAGCCAATTATTGGGAACTTTTCCTTTTGAGATTTTTGTCTTTCAATTTACCCCATTTCGGATAATTTCCCCGTACCTTATTTCATTAAAATCTTTCACATTCCATTGACAGGTTTACTATAAAACTTTTTTGACAAATTCATTTATCTTAATTGGCACTTATTAATTTGCAAAGAAAGAAAAGTGACAAAGATACATATTGTATCAGGAAATAATAAATAAACAGCCAAGAGAAGAGCTAGTACCGGGTAAGCCTATATTTCGGTGTATCGCTGTGTCTGCATTGGAAAAATACACATTGAGTGTGTATTGGATTTGCTGATGTTTTGGTAATATGTCCTGGAGATGTATTTTTGTAATGAATCTGTGTGCTGTGAAACTGTGTTTAATAGTTCAGACTCTTTCACTTTTGAAAAATAAATCAAGAATAATAAATGTTCAGGAGTTATAAAAAAAAAAAAAAAAAAAAATTTGAACTCAATTGAGTAAGATTTTGAAAAGCAAGAGTTCTGGATCAACACATTTCAACAGCACGTTCAAAATACTTCACAAAATGATCATCATGTGTGCAGGGCATAACCTACCAATTGCATGTACTTCAGGTATCCCTAATACTAAGGAGTCCATTGCCATTAGAGTAATATTTTTTTTCGGATTGTGACACATGGTGAAATCACATTGTTGTGACATGCTGGTGACTTTTAAATGCCATATGAGTGGAAAAAGCTTTACAGAAAAGTGGAGATGAAACTTTGACACAGTAGTGATATCATATTGAAGACACTGACATAGTTATCTGCAAAATGTATGTACATAGGTTGTGACTTGAAGCGTTACACTGTTATATTTACTGCGATCTACATAAATGACACTCCATTCTTTTTATCTACCTCGGTTCACATTTTGCTACATGAATAACTTAATTTTCAATGCCAAGTTACAAAAAGTACACTTGAATACGAAACTATTTTCAGCCTGTTTGCCTACCAGTGTATACTGATTTCTCCATTTTTTTTGTACAAGTCAGTGTTACTGTTGAAAACATTCGATGTCCTACATATTATTTTGATATTTTCATTTTTCTCGAACTGAAAATTACTTCCATGTAGTACATATGTGCTTGGTTATTTGTCCTTAGCTAAATATCATCAATTGATATGAGACCAGTAGGTGTCTAAAGTATGGTGCAAGTAGTTGAAAGGTATTGTCAGGTACATATTTTATTTCCATTAGTTAAGTTTTCATAACACCGTCAACAACAACTAGCCCGCATTTCCTTATCCCAGCATCCAGCATTCAGCAAGTTTTAGATATTAAGACTGATTTTCATTGAAGTTGATTAATTAATTTTTTTGAAATCTCAGTAAAATGAGAAAATTCCTGTTTTGTGGTGTCATAATGGCCTCATAAATAGTCATATTATGCCATTCAAAATGCAAGAAATTGCTAATATGGGTCCAAATTGTATTTACTCACATATACTTTATAACAGTGACAGGGAAAAACAGATTTTTAGCTTCTTGTCATACCTTTTATACAGGGTGCAGGATAGCCAAGTTTCTTCAACATAATACTCAATCTACCTAGCTAGCAGCCGCTGTGGGCAATGATACCTGAACAGCTTTTGAACCAGGCATGCTGGTACATGTATGCCATGTTTGATTCTCCCAGCATTCAGCTTTCAGTTTGTTTATCGGCTGTTGGGTGTATTTTGCTTTTTCTGTAAAGCTTTTAGATGATGTTGTGATGATGTGCTGGTTAAGATTATTAGGACACATACTATGAGTGGTCGTTAGGATAACTGTTGGACGACCTGATGTCAGGATGTATACTGCCGTACCCATTGTAAGGAGGTGGACGAGGACAGAAGGGATCAGCGTCGTCCACGGGTCGATAGCCGCGCCTGAAAAACACATACATCAGTCAGCTACAGTGGTCAAATTTGATTCAATATGACTTTACAGAGAAGCAACACTAAATTTTAACTGAATCAAATACTAAATTTTTCACAAAACATATTCAAAATTGAATAAATCCTATACATTGTATTTGATTATCAAGATAATTTGTACATATATCTAGAACTTATTTTCTCGTTCCTTGAATATGTATTGATAAATTGCATTTAATGTTATAAACCTTTTAAAGAAACTTCTTCATTACCTACACAGATATACATGAAACCCCTTTATAATGTCATTCATAAAATTCCCTTTTCTGTATAATTTCCAATAGAAATTTATTTATATATGTACCATGAATCTCCCTTAATATACTGTCAAACCTCTTTATAATGCCAAACTTTTTCTGGATGAAAAATGGCAGTAAAACAAGGGTTTACTGTAACTTTCAAACTGAAACCTTGACATACCACGAAAGTTGAATTTTCCTGCTATAGAAATTTTCAAAAATATCTGCATTTACAAAATAACCACAAGAATATATGCATGTGCAAACACATTGACACATTATGAAATATGTGATGCAACAGACTTATCAAATGCAAAATTTCCACCTTGAAAATAGTTTTCAGATGAATGAGAACAAAAAATGACAACATTTATGGCAGATGCTGTCACAGAAATGCTTACTTCTTGCCGATGATTCTCCAGAACCTTGGTAGTAGACACTGTGTGAGGATGAACATCAGGCCGGACAAGGGCAGACACAGCAGGATGAATACCACACCAAGCCTGTTCATAACATGATCATTTCACACATTAATCTGGTGTAGACAAGATAACACATTCAAGTGCATGTAATTGTAGTAAAATGTGATTATGAAAAAAAAAAGTTGAATAAAAAAAATAAAAATAAAAATAACACATTCAAAACCATCAACCCCAATATCGGTGATAAGTATTTTCAATTCTTTTGGAAAAGTTGTCTGAAAACATTTATCATAATGTATTTGAAGGGTTGTAAATTGTTGGAATAACTTTTGGCCTACTCTAGGTATTACTCAGCATTGAAACTTGACAGGGAAATTCACCCCACCCCATACATTCATATTCAAGAAATTATCATTGTTTTTCTTCTTTTGAAACTACCAAAGGCACCAATGATTTCCTTTTAAATTTTACTTATGTTTTATTTACTGAACACTGTTCTGATACGTGGTGTCATTCGAGTGTTAAAGATGACATCATCTAATGGTTTCCATAGTGATATAATTATTACAAATTCAAAGATAATAGAGATATTTACACTTCTATGTGTTTGCTGACGTAGAAAAAAGAAGCGATTACGGTAATGGGAAATATTGAATGTCCATTTAGTAATTTCCGAAAATCGAGTATCACAGACAAGTGGAGCCAACAGCGTGATACGTACATGGAAGTGTTACAGATCCCCTGAACTGCCTTGACGTAGTTCTTGTGTATCTCCCGACAGTCTAAGTCCTCTGCTAACACAGTGATGTTACCAGAACAGTACTCCAGCTCCTCCGCAACTCTTCTCATCGGCTCCATCAGCTGTTGATACAAACAGGTAAGACTTTTAAAAGCACTACAATGGTAACTGTTCAAAAACCTATTATATTTCAACACCATTTCACAATTCTCCTGCTGTCAATACCAAAATTTAGACTGATCTTTCGTAAGCATTGCAACGATAAATGTTCAAATGTTTTTTCTTTTATTCTTTAAAAAAACTTATTCGATTTTATCAACTGTTTTTGCCAGTAATAATCCCATGATCCTATAATAAGCCCACATTTCTTTCTTGAACAGATTATACAAAATGGCTCAAAACAGCAAGCATGTTCCTCTTTCGTCCATTGGTGACATGATGTAAGGATGTGCATGTTCTGTTGCAACTTTGGTATCAAGTATTCAATAAATTTGTAGCCATGTGCCGGCTACTAGGTCCCCATGTTGTATGGTCGAAGAGGCAGATGAAAAGCTGGACATCAAGATCAACTCGACTTGTGCGTGTGTGATGAAACATGGGACAGGTTGGTTGTATAAAGACTGGATGTATGACTGGCCAAACGCTCGATCAGCATGGCCACTTGGTAACTCCAGTTCAAATGACTCATTTTTTGAGAAGGGAATAGAAGGGAATAGATGCATCCACTTCTGGTATGCTCCTCTATGACTGACAAAGGGAAACGTCCCTTTACAGCTCCCCTCTACCTAATTACTGATCAGGGGATACATGTCCCCTACATGACCTGTAAACACGATGTGAGGTGATAGTACAATTTGTTGGTAAGGTACTGAAGCCAGGGCAGGTTGACCCCCTCAGCTGTGCAAATTAAATCAATATAAAATACTAAGCTCCAGTGAAATACAACTGCCATTGCTTCCTTATTGGTCTCAGGTCTGAATCTCATATATAACCTTATTGGTCTCAATTGAAAAATTTATCATTGGCAAAATAAGAAATATCAAATCTTGATGAACATAATATATAAAGAATTTCATAAATTGGTATATAGCTTTCCAAATGGCGATTATTTACCAGCAAGGTCAAGAAATTGATGATTTTTTTCCTCCATTTTTTCCCAAATTGGGAAAGAATGGGCCTCTTTTCAACTTAACAAACCTTAAAAGGAAAGCAAAAAAACTCGGACGATATGGCACTGGGCCACAGTGAACATGGAGCGAGAACATTTTCGAATGCGTGAGATTTATGGCTCAGGTGGCGTGACACAGGTTTCAGTGGGAGATTTTGTCGCAAGGCATTAGAGTTGGCAACCCTGCTGTGGTAGTAAGTTGTAAGGTTACCTGTGGAATGTTGAATGGTTTGACCACTGTCTTTATTTGGTACAGCGTATTGTTGGCTTGTGTGACAGCTTCTCTGGCCAGTTCGATGTTCTGTATAAAAGAAAGTTGAAAATGAATCACAATTTTTTGGAGGTAGAGTTTACGCAGAAAAAATAATTTCATCTTTCTAATGGGTACAGTAAATATATTTCTTAAAAGGTTTTAATTTCATCACGTCGCCTTTTCCGCATTGCGGCATCAGAGTTTTCCAAATTCATGATGTCACATCATTGATGAGCCATTGTGACGTCACGTCACGTCACGTGAAATGGGGGGTGAGATAGAAATTTCTTACACCCCTTTCTAACTCTGGACAGCTCTATCGATATCTTACACACACGGAAATGAGAGAAATAGATATTCTATCCAAGGGGTTAGAATATCCATATCCCAAATTCCTATATCAGTGTTTTTGCATTTATATACATATATTTATATTCATATGTTTAAATATTGATACAAATTTATCTCTGATGCGTGAGAAGTTACTTACATCCGAGAACATCTTGGGGTCAGTGGATCCTAGCGGACACTCAATGTAGGCTTTCACAATAGCTGTAAACCACAAAAACATATATCAAAGATTGTGAACAGGTATTTCAAAATGTTTAGAATAATGACAAAAAAAAATATCAGTAAAAACATGATATTTCCTGAACTGTGATATTAAGCAAATGTGATAATAAGTGGAATCGGCCATATCACCTCTATCTACTTTTTGTGAGATTAAACATGATATTAACTGAAATGTGATATAAAAGCAAATGTGATATGAAGTGGAATCCACGACATTACCTCTTTCTACTTTTTGGGAGGTGACGTTTTCTACAAACAAATCCGGGTTGTAGCAGAGGTCAGCACCAGCCTGTAACATAAACAATGTTAAATCAGGGTAGAACTAAGGAGGATAATTACTCTAGCTTATGTATCATGAGGTTGCATACAGTATTAGATTATGTGCAGATTATGTATCATTTCAATTTTAATTTTCACTTCACTTGTAACAAGGCTTAAAATCATGTATTGTTGTTAGTTTAAATTACCATTCTCAGACACAGGAAACACATTTTGAAGATTAACCCTTATTTTTCTTTTTGGGCCCCACTCCTCTGTCATCCTTTCTTGCAATCTTGCAACACTCGCTCTTCATTTATTCTTTGCCTTGGCTGCGTGATGATCGAAGCCCAATCAGGCCAAAATCTCATCACTCCTATTTAAAGAGCGGTATTTTTGACAATTGAACACCTATATCCCTTGCCACTGTGCCACATCCTGCATTTTTTCTCCATCCATCCAAAGGGTGTTGGTAATGGTGGTGGTGGTGGTGGTTGTGGTGGTGGTGGTGGTGGGGGGGGGGGGCAATTTTAATCTTTTTCGTTGGTCAGGTGGTGCATTGGATAGTACACTGGCCTTTAACCAAGATGGCTGGGGTTTGATTCCCTAATCGGACGTGAAAATATAGTCACCTTCCCAACCACATGGGTTTTCTCTGGGTACTCTGGCTTCCTCCAACAGTAAGACCCTTTGCGTGCCTCTATCCAGGCCACCAAGAGCAATTTATATAAACTGCAGTAACTTGTGTCATATTTTTTGTAAAAAAAATGGAAAGTTTATTTTCAAATTTTGGACGAAAGATATTTATCGGTTCTGGATTAGCAACCTTTTAAAAGAAAGATGACTATGTACTGACGATTAAACAGATGCATGAACTTATTCAGGCCAGGCGAGCTAAAAAACACTGCCTATATCAGTTATACTTACCACAGCCCCACCTAGATAGATTCCTGCTGACCCCCAAATCACCAGCAGGGTAAGGAACCCTATAAATATGGAGCTGAAATATGGAGAAAAAATCTTTTAATCAAAGAGTCAATCTTTAAAACTAAAACAGTTAAACCAGTAAAGACCACTCTGAGGAAGTCGTAAAACTAAAACAGTTAAACCAGTAAAGACCACTCTGAGGAAGTCGTAATACTAAAACAGTTAAACCAGTAAAGACCACTCTGAGGAAGTCGTAATACTAAAACAGTTAAACCAGTAAAGACCACTCTGAGGAAGTCGTAATACTAAAACAGTTAAACCAGTAAAGACCACTCTGAGGAAGTCGTAATACTAAAACAGTTAAACCAGTAAAGACCACTCTGAGGAAGTCGTAATACTAAAACAGTTAAACCAGTAAAGACCACTCTGAGGAAGTCGTAATACTAAAACAGTTAAACCAGTAAAGACCACTCTGAGGAAGTCGTAATACTAAAACAGTTAAACCAGTAAAGACCACTCTGAGGAAGTCGTAATACTAAAACAGTTAAACCAGTAAAGACCACTCTGAGGAAGTCGTAATACTAAAACAGTTAAACCAGTAAAGACCACTCTGAGGAAGTCGTAATACTAAAACAGTTAAACCAGTAAAGACCACTCTGAGGAAGTCGTAATACTAAAACAGTTAAACCAGTAAAGACCACTCTGAGGAAGTCGTAATACTAAAACAGTTAAACCAGTAAAGACCACTCTGAGGAAGTCGTAATACTAAAACAGTTAAACCAGTAAAGACCACTCTGAGGAAGTCGTAATACTAAAACAGTTAAACCAGTAAAGACCACTCTGAGGAAGTCGTAATACTAAAACAGTTAAACCAGTAAAGACCACTCTGAGGAAGTCGTAATACTAAAACAGTTAAACCAGTAAAGACCACTCTGAGGAAGTCAAAAAGTGGTCTCTTCACACAGGTTTTCGCTTAGTGGACATCATCATATGATATGAGCAGGCTTGCCGTATCAGAGTCCGTAATTACAAAATTCAAACTTGATAAGGATAAGCAATACATTAAAAGAAACCTGTCTATACAGACAGAATCTGGGAGTGTATCATTTGGTTGGCTGTGATAACGTGTTGGTAAATCTGTCTTTAATCGGAGGCACTGTAGTCAAGTGGTAATATAAGATGCCGAGCTCGTGACCGAAGGGTTGTGGGTTCAAGTCACAGTACAGCATTGTGCTGTATCTTTGAGCAAGATGCTTTACTCCGCTTGTTCTAATCTACTCAGCTGTAAATGAGTACGTGGTTGGACAGTGCTAGAATTGTTAAATGCTAGCTTTGAGCGCCAAAAAGGCAGCACCAGCTGTATGCTCCCCAGGGAGCTGAGAAATGGCAGCACCAACTGTATGCTCCCCAGGGAGTTGAGAAAGATATTGGCTGATTGCAAAGGCCCTATTAACACGGATAATAATTTGTGAACCGCTTTGAGATGATCTACGAACTAGGTTGTGATAAAGTGGTATATAAGAACCTTGAATTATTATTATTATTATCTTTACTACATAAAGAGGGACTGGACCCTTTAGTAGGATACATGACAGTTGGTTGGATTAAACAGTTTATCAGTAAACCTATTTTCTGCCAGACTTCCACTTGCATCAAAACAATACAGACTGCTATACTTATACAATAATGATACATTTTGATTTCTAACATAATGCTACTAGTATACCAGGTATAACAATAAGTGTCTGCCATATTGCCACTTACACCATAATAATACAGACTGCTGTGTCTACTTACAACATGACAATACAGACTGCTGTATCTACTTACAACATGACAATACATTTTGATTTCCGCCAGACTGCTATCAGGATGAGCAGCAAAACAACCAAAGTAAAACACAGGGCTATCACAGTTCCAATCCATCTGAAAGAATTAAAAGGCCACACTAAAATTAAATCAGCTAATGAATCCTGAAAAACATACTGTCAGATAAAAACAGGATATTTTATACTTAATTATTGTTATTCATTTTTGTTGAGAATCTGGGTTTTTTTATAATCCAAATGTGTACATTTGTATTACATATGTATTTGCATAGCATAGCTGTATCCTCACACATCTTTCTAAGTCCCTGTGCCACTGCAGGCAAAACACTAAAGAATTCCACCGTATTTTTTTTTATAGAGTTACTTCCCCTTAAGTTAGATATTTTAGATATAGCTGTAACATGCATGTGATTGGGCCATGCTACTACCGTTGACCAGACATAGCTCAGTTGTACAGAGTGGAATACAATGTTTTAAGGTCCAGAGTTCAAATCTTCGTCTGGCCTGCTGCTTTTCAACATTTAGAACACTGTTGATTTGTGTTGTTTAATTTCACCTTCATTGTTTTTTAATAAACCTTCTTCATGATATGGTTTTCTTGTCAGAAATTATTTATCACAATTATGACCATGCTAGAAAAATAGTTTCCAAGACATAGCTACAATTTTTGACGTGGTATGGGGATCCTTAAAAGATGTCTATGGTTTTCATTTCTACACTGACCTGTAAAATTCATACGTGGTCGCATCCTGTACGATGTAATCCAGGGTTATATTGGGTGTGGCTGCCCTAATTGAGGTCACGTCTGCTCTCGCTTTCTGGGCAGCGGAAGTGATGTCATTGATGAGGATTTCCAGAGGGGCTCTGACCGTCTCATTCGTGTACTGGTGAATCACATTCTGTAGCGCTACCACACTTCTGGTAGAGATGCTGTCAGCCAGGTACTTCAGAGAACCCAACTATAACACAAGCGACAAAATCAAAATTGTTCTCGGCCTGCAAAATGATCTACTGGCCCTGTATCCGCGGCCAGTACATTTTTCCATTGAGGCAGTGGAACTGGTATTATAAATTTAAAACCCCAAAAAAAGAGTAAGATGATCCATTAATGATATTCTTTGTATGATAATTCAGTCTTAGAATTTACCATATTCCTGATATTTTATCTGAGAATTTACGAATATAGAGGGCCTTTCGTTTTTCTATACACTGCAATTAGGTAGAGGAAGTAACTAGTCACCAACATGTGACTTTGTCACCTCTAAAGAGCTTGTGACAACTTCTGCTTTTGTTTTCAATGCGTTGGCCAATAGTTCGAAGTTGAAATGATAGTTGATTCGGGCCTGTGGTAGTCCACAGGACTAGTTGAATAAATTGTATTACTAGTCCTTCGTCAATGTAACTAGTCCAAGATTTCCTGATAAGGAAACATCGCGATCTACAGCACAAAACATCAAAAGTAATCGATTGTAGAGGACTTAAAATATCTACTGCCATAAAAATATGGGAAAGTTTTAGGTAAATTCTGACGATTATCATGCAATTTATCTTATTTCAAGCAGTTTTCTAAATTTTAGAAAGTAATATTCTTATTTTATAATCTTATTGTTCACAAGTCCAAAGGACCAGTTAGGTAAGGTGATTCACTAGTCCTTGCTGAAATCTACTAGTCCAGGACTAGCGGACTAGTGTTAGTGTCGACCCCTGCTGTTGGGCCAGTGAGATTGGAAATATTTTAGGCTGACTGTGTACTATAGCTTTGAAATAACCTAACCTATTCTTTTCAGTGAGCTTTACTCCGACAGATCTCGAGTTTAACGTTTAAGCACCAGCAAAAAGTAAATCCTACATAAAACTGTTTTAATCATCTCCTTGCTGACACGGTCAACATGTTTCAAGGCCCCCTCAATTTTCATTTTTTCTAATTGTATTAATACTTTTTCGTACAGCTTCCTTACCCAAAACCCCTATGTAATATTAATGCCACAATTTAACTTGACAAATGCATGATGGTAGCGTAACAAAATTTTACTGCATAAATTTGAAAGAGCTTCTGCACAGATTATTATCCTCTAGCGATTTCATCATAAAACATGAAAAATGTTTTCTTGAATACCTAACCTTCCAGAAACCCTATAAAAAAATCTAGGATCTGTATTTTAAATGGGAAAACATTCTAGTGTACCAGGTTGTAAGGGAATTATGGTACTCTGATCCTTTTTTTTTCTCTCTTAAATGTTGAGAGCAGATGAGAAACTAACCTTGTCAAATGTTTAAGACATTTTAATGGAAATTCCATAAGTTGGGGGTAATTCATTATTATGATGCTACAACTTACCGTGGCCACAGCTTCCGTTATTGTTTGGTTTGTGTCTTGCACAGATTCAATAAATCTGCTCACGCCTTTACTTGTTTGTTCATTGCCATAGAAACCAGGTGTTAAGATTGCTCTGGAAAAAATTATGAAACAAGAATTTGTAAGATTGACAATGCTGACAATTCATACAAAACAAATACATATTGTTTCCCATTTCAACATTTCATCATATACTCCAAAAACTTATATTGTGGAAAATTTATCCCCCCCCCCCCTCCCCCGGCAGAGTCATTTATGATCATTAAGGGAATTCAACGCATCATTTGACTCAAATATACAGCGTACAATGAATGCTAGCTTAGCTGTTTTCGATAGAATAAAAAAACAGTTTCTACCAAATATAAATTTGGTTTCAGATATACGACTGCAAGATATCAGAGCGTAATACATCCCAAAATGGTGACAGACTAGCATCTTTTATAAGGTATATTCAATCTCAAAAGTTGCCACAAAAATAACAACAGTTTCATGTATTCATATGACATTCCACTCTGAGGTTGAAATGGTGTACGTAATATACACACACAGCATTGTATAAAAACAGATGAGTTACTTCCCTTTGAAAGGTACTGTACAGCTAAATGCTTGCATTCTTTAACTCATTCACCCCTGAAATTTTCATAATGAACTATTCCAGCCTTTGAATTGGAAGAGTTCAAATGTCTTCAGGGGTGAATGAGTTAAATGACCGTATAGCTGTTTATAGGATATCGATGTAAAACACAAACAAACCAAACTTTCTGATGAGTATCTAGATACTTGCATGCTCTTTAATTTCCTTCTAAACAATCTCCAGTTCTAAAACTTGTCACTTACATTGACAGGAAGATGACGATGAAGAGCGACACCCTGAGACACGTTGATTTGTCAGTTTTCTGTGGCGGTTTCCTGATGCATTGCAGACAGAGGCAACTTGACGTCGCCAGGAGAAATATCACACACCATATCACAGGTAGGGAGCACAGGAAAACTATTGCCTGAAAAATAGAACAAACCAGATTAGCATTTATTCTTTACAATTAACCCTAACAATATGTATTGAATTAACAAAAAAACTGTTTACAATATATGCCCCTTGCTTTGATATGAAACAGGATGTCGGAATCAAGGATCACTGTCCAGCTACACTGTAATTTGTTTTAGTAATCTCCCTTGAACTTCCTTTTGAATATAACTGTAAGAAAGTTAAGTTGGGCCAAGCGTACTTCTGCTGACCAGGCCGGAGCGTAATCGGTTAGAGTGACAGAAAGACTAGGGCACATGTACAATTTAAGGGAAAAACAATGCCTGAAAATAAAGCATATTAGAATGGTTTTATAGAATTACCAAATGTACTATCATACATTTATGTATCGAGGTTGGTTTTCGTTTTAGGGAAATTAACAAAATTGAGGTCAGAGGTCAGCAATTCTTTCTGTTTATAAGTATGATCAGTTCAACAGGCATATATCAACTAACAAAAAAATAGAAATAAAAAGGAAGTGATCCAAAACTCAAATGTCAAACATTGCATTAATATTCTTCGGTACGTAGATCATCAGTTGATTTGTGGGTGGATTCGTGGGTGGATTTGCTCGAGCTCCTTTCTAAGAAATCATAAAATATAGTTTAACACCACAAGAACATTTTTTTGCTCTTTTAACTTGTCTATATGTTTTGGCCTATCCTTTGCTTCTATTACAGGACACTTGTTTCGAGTTGTAAGGATAATACAGATTAGTAACTTATAGCTACAAAATGGCTACCAGACATTCTGAAGTGAAGGACATTTAACTTGACTATAGTCACTTATTCACAGCCACATTCTGTTAAAAATCAGATATATTTTAAGGGTATCCACTACTGGTAACTTTGCCAAGAATAGCATACAAGCATGCATATATATATGAATATAAAGACTGTATATATCTGTTACATTCAAATATCAAAATGAAAATATTCACAAAATAATCACTGAAGTAAAATTCATGACTGAGATATTGAGGCTCATCCATGGGTGTTTTTATTTGGAACTAATTAATTAATTAGGCCAAATAAAAAATGTTGTTTGTTTATGGTTACCGAAACCTACATGTACCCTGATGTCTTGTGATGACCCCAATTTTAGGGGGCAATTTTCAAGAAAACACTTTTAAAGTTATGATAACTCTCCTTTATTTACCTTAGTAAGTAAAATGAAAAATAAAATTGATTATCAACCTATATATAGCTACAGACCCTATTTTTCAGACATGTAACAGGAAGAAAATGTGACAGGAAAGAGAGTACTGTGGTTTCCAGCAGGGATCAAACCCTTGACCTCCAGCTTCCCAATCTGTTGCTTAATTTATCCATTGAGGGAAGTTTCCCTCTAGCTCGAAGCTAGAAGGCAATCATAATACTTTAGCAATGTACCATTAAATCTGCCACACTACTTTAAACGTTTTAAAATGTGTTCGCCCTCGAATACCACAACCCGGTTCTAACTCTGGATCCCTGTCACCACCAGGAGGGCCACACAGACACCATTTGTAACAAGAAACAGAGTGGTATGCCTCCAGTTGGGATCAAACCCGTGACCCAAGCTTCCCAGTCTGGCGCTCTACCAATTGAGCTATGAAGGGAAATTTCCCCAGGTGTGGAGCAAGAAGGCAACCCTAACCATACAGTATGTAAAAAAAATAAAAACTGCCACACAAACATTTTTTTTTTTGTCTGGCCTTAGTTTCATATTATAATGTAACAGTAACATGTAAATTAAATACATGTGTGAAATACTAGATTAAATTGATCAAAACCCATAAAGAATTTATTACTGCCTATATAGTTTGTTGAACCATTTTCCTTGAACCAATTAAGTATCTTAACCTGAACTGGTGATGGTATATTCTGCCAAGAAGATGGCCATTTTTGGACTTGATCTCACATACAAAAAACAAACCATTTGAGTTAGTTCAATTCTTCAACACTTTTCCAATCAAATGATAACTTCATGTTATATTTTCCAGGTACCATTAAATAGATAAAGTAGAATCTCACCAAGCATTCACGTTGAGGTAGTGGCTATTTCATTTTAATTGAAAATAAATGGCTCCATTAATATTATTTACCTAATTAATTTTGCATATCAATCTTAAGATATTGTAACATATTATATGTCATTTATACTTTGAACATCATCACAATTAAATTATATGAAATCATTATAACAATTAGTCAAATTTTACACATTTTCGATAAATTTTGACAGGTAGATTTTGTTATTTTAATTATAATAGTACATCTGCTTATAAGTCATAGACATTGCATCTGTTGATAATCAACCACAGATATACAATGTATGAGATTACAGGTATAATGTACAAGTTATAAAACTATCACTTATTGGCTTTCTATTGAACACATTATTAAGATTTTTAACATATTTTGAAATCTGAATAAACATATTTAAATGGAAGTTTCCATATATATATATCATATTTCCATAGCTTTTAGGATGTTTTGTCGTCTCCTATATTTAGTTTCAACATTTTTTTTTTCAACAATAGGATTTGACAACAGGCATATATATAGCCTTCTCCTATATCTATACCCACCCCCACTGGGACTTTGATAGCCCTGTGGACCAGCTGCCTTTCCACTAAATTCTAGATCCAAATCATCTGCATATTCATACTAGGGTTAACCATGCATGAATTCTTCAAACTGCAGACATGTTCCTCCAGGTTTATGACAATATATATAGCATTCACAAGCAAGTCCATGTAATTATATATTGATTACAATGCCATTCAGAACTACGCTGATACATCACAATAACTAGTCGAGACATTATATGACAATCCCATTATGTGTTTGAATTGTTTGACGATGTACTCATTTCCTGGTTGACTCATAATTTTACTGTACTTCAGTAGATCTTGTAAAGCAGTTTTTTTTCGGTTTGATTGTTTTCATAATATTATGTTGAATAGTGTTTACAGAGACTCTGCTTAGATTCATTTGTAACCACTGTAAGCTAGAAATCTATGATACCATACTGTACTTGGATAGAAGCCATTCTACAGGTTTAAACTGTACTAGGTTTTGTTATGAAAGTACAAAAACAGGGGTTCCAAAAACAGTTAAAAAGAACACTAGGCTAGGGTATTAATAGCAACGATATAACTTTATCGTTTCTTTCCAAACAAATTCTAGAGATCACATTGTAAACATATCAATAAATAAGATAAAGATGTACATTTAAATATATAAATAGTTTACCTCTCTATAATTGATACTGTCTGGGTTGAATGTAGAATTTGTTGTTTTGAATGAAAAGTTCACATGAGGAAACTGGTGAAGAATGTCGACAAACCACTCTCGTATGTACGTTTCGGAGTCCGTAAAATCCAGAAAAGACATAATTACAATGTTATCATAATACACATAAATAAAAGATTCCTTATAAATCTGTTTTGTTCCTACAAAACTCCTATATGTTGACTCTTCGGTCACAGCTCTGTTTTCAGACGACTGACAAAACCTTGTCGTCCATTTTGTGATCACGTGACAGATATTATTTCCTTTAGGTGCGCGTGGTTGAAAACAAGAAATGTAAACAAAAATAATTTTGATTGCAATTTTAATAAAATTATCTTTATCGTAGATGTTCGTAAGTTTCTGGTTTGAAAAAGTAGTAGGAAATAAACATGAAAAAGTAGTGTTTGTTGATGCAAGTGCTAAGGCAACCCATGACGGCTAAGGAGGGCAAGCCCGTCTATCGCGTGAGTCATGCGTGACGTCAGTGGATTTCCCTCTTTAGAGCACTGGCGCATCCGTTTGCAACAGAGCCGCCGAGGTCACTCGCTATTTGGCAATATTTTACAAATTTGAAGCGGATTTTGCACAATCGCATCCACTAGCTGATTTCGATAGACATTCAACAACGCCATCGTCACATTTGGAGACGATCTGAGGTCAACTCGCTGATTGTGCGGCGAAAAACCGAAACCAGGAAAGAACCTGCTGCTCGTGTCGGTTCGGATGACTTGGGACATTAGGTCTGACGTGAAGGATGCCAGGTAAGAGAAGTGGCTAAGCTGCACGCTCGAATTACGCTAATTTGCAACTCTTATTAAGCATAGATGACTTTGCAAGCTCTGAATTTGCACAAATCTCTGTTTCATTCTTGCAAAAGGAGACGAGACTTTGGCCACGAGATGAATGAAGATCACCATTTTTTTAGGTCAGGATCAGTGACCCACTGAGTGTGTGTGGCGTGTGCGCACACCCTGACTTTTGCGCACTGTCTCTGTCAATGAACAAACTGTAATCTTTGAATTGCACTGCAATTGGAAACTATATACTCATTTTACCAACTCTACAAGCGCACTTTTTTTTCTACTAAATAATAAGTTTATAGGCATGCCAATCGAAATTTTACAATCGCACAAAACAGACCTGCTGCATAAACTTCTTCCTATTTCTGGGAATAAGGTTTTAGTTTTTTTTTACTTTAAGTCACTAAATTCTATGTTTACATGATTGTAAATTATGTTCATTAGTGAAGGTAAATCGGTTTTTAAACTGGTCACCAGCATGTTATTCGAAGCAAATTAGGAAGCAATAACAATATATAATTGACCTAAATACAAATATTTAGTCAAATAATTATGTCAATGACTTTAAAAAAACTTTTAATCTCTTGTTATCAGATTGTAATTTTTTTCTTAACCATTAATAATGTTCCGAGTATGCTTAACTATTTTTATGTAATAAATTATATGTAGTTTTATTACCGTCTGAAATACCACAATTCAACTTAATGTCTAAGTCAATGTACGTAGGTTTCAATGTCTGATTTTTTTTTTCGTAATGTTGAAATATTATTATGATGCAATCTGATTTATTACAACATAAAGTCTGCACTATGATTCATAAATTGACATGAACGGATAGGATGAGTCCCGATTTCTGCGTGAATAATAGCAAGGCAAGTTTCTGGACAGGATACATAATATGAAAGTCTCGTTTACTTTTGTAAAGTACGTTCCTGCATGGTTCTATCAAAGTTTGCAAACAATGACAAATTGGCAACACGTTCATCTGAAAAAAATGAAAACACATAGTTGTTGGTCTAACTTTATTCTTATTCAAATTATTGAATTACATAAATTTAATCTAATTCAATAATTTAGATTATTCGTCAGTGCTTCCGAAAGCCTCCAAATGAGATTTCTTTACCCCAATTCCAAAACAGTTGGTTGTACCCAAAGTTCTCAAGAATTTTCTTTTGAAACTAAGAATCTGGAGTTATATAGAATATTGAAAATGTATCAAATTTTAAATTTAATGGGAACATTGTATATAATGATAAACAAAAATAAATCATTGTACAGTACATCAAAGTGTAACAAAAATTGAAACCTGTATACTCAGACAAGTAGAGATGTTTATACAAAAAAATGCATTATCATTCTTCTGTTTATCTGTAAATAATTGTTATTACATAGGGTAACAATATATCCTTCAGTTGTTTTGTTTGACTGTGTATTTTGATGAAAAAACGGTCATTTTTTTTGCCAGCAGAGTTTGATCAACTGTTAAAAGAAATATGTACAAAAATAACCCCAAGAGGGCGGGCATTCACCTGATTCATGCATTTGATCACATGACGACGAACACAAGTTGGTTCCAGAACTTTTTTTTTTTCTTCTAATTTTAGTAGTACAAGTCATTCCATTCTTTGCAAGCCCAAGGTATTTTTTACCTATTGTATCGTCGTCAGTGAGAAACCAGAGAATATGATTGATTTTTTTTTTAATATATTGCAGTGATTTTTATAGGATTTTTAAGGCGAGTTCTGAGCATCAGTTTTTAAAAGTGTTGATTCCGTTGACAGTGTGTTTTCGAAATGTCGGGAAGTCACACCTCAAAAACATGAGTCCTGCATTCATGCTGAAAATAACGTTGTTATTTTGCCATGTGGGTGGTGGTTGTAATGCTATCAATTTTTAAACAGGGCAAGTATAGCAATGTGTCGGATGTAAGTTAATTCGGCTCTTCCAATGCAATTCTGGGGAAAAGTTCCAAGACTCTTAAAAACAAATGTTCAGATGTTCTAGTTGCACTGTATTATTGTCAACTCGTAGTCTTATTAAGTCCCTTTTCTGTCCAAAATTATGTATCCTGCGTCTTTTTAGCCAGAAACCCTTCAAGTCAGCAATATTAAATTAATTAATTGGAACATTGGGCTTGTGACATAATTACAACTGCAGTTTGAGGTGAAAATGGGATTGCAGTGTTGATTAGCTATACATGTATTCTATGAAAACCCGATGTAACGAAGATAGTTATTAACAAATGCAAAAAGTCCAAAGGAAGAAACCAATATGAAATTAATCTGGTGAAGGCTTAGTGGAAAGGCAGCTTTCTACAGCTACATGTATATATAGGTTGTTTTATATATAGTATATATATACTAATTAATTTACACTCAATTAGATCTCCTCTGCATTTGAGAAACCCCCGCTGGGAGATGTAAGTGTTTTAGCCTTTGTGTATATCGTTCGATTTCATAGGTGTGCAATTTCATATTAAGATTATGTTATATACACCTGAAAACAGGTTTTGAAAATTTTCCTTCAAGCTGAAACTTAAGTTTTATAGTACTCAAATATTGAAAACTCAGGCTAACTCGGGCATAACATTTGCTAACGTAGCGTCAGGTTTGTTGATCTAGAGAAGTATGTTATAATAATTTTTCTGACATCACTTAAAATAATATGTCCAATAAAGTTTCAATTATATACAATTATATATATATATACGATTGATAAATTATCAGAACAGATAAAAAAACAATGGAAAAAAGTGCTGATTGACCCAGACAAGATATTGAGTTCTAGGTACATTGTAATATGTACATGTGGTGCACAATAGGAGATCAGGCGACTGTGAACCAGGGGGAGTGCACATTAATAGAGATCATGTGACTGTAACCCAAGGGGAAGCGTAATACATATATACAATGGGAGGTTTGGAGACTCAGACACAGGATACAATGGGAGGTTTGGAGACTCAGACACAAGGGGAGAGCAAAACAAACTGCACAATGAAAGATCATGAGTCAGTGACCCAGGAGGAGAGCAAAACATGGTGGACAATGGGAGGTTTGGAGACTCAGACACAGGGGGGGGAGAGCAAAACATCGTGCAAAATGGGAGATCAGGAGACTGTGACACAGGGGAGAGTAATACATATGGCGCATAATGGGAGATCAGGAGACTGTGACACAGGGGGAGAGTAATACATGGTGTACAATGGGAGATCAGGAGACTGTGACCCAGGGGGAGAGTGATACATGGTGTACAATGGGAGATCAGGAGACTGTGACCTAGGGGAGAGTAATACATGGTGTGTCCAATGGGAGATCAGGAGACTGTGACCCAGGGGGAGAGTTGTACATGGTGTGTCCAATGGGAGATCAGGAAACTGTGACCCAGGGGGAGAGTTATACATGGTATGGTGTACAATGGGAGATCAGGAGACTGTGACCCAGGAGGAGAGCAAAACATGTTGGACAATGGGAGGTTTGGAGACTCAGACACAGGGGGGGAGAGCAAAACATCGTGCAAAATGGGAGATCAGGAGACTGTGACACAGGGGGATAGTAATACATGGTGTACAATGGGAGATCAGGAGACTGTGACCTAGGGGAGAGTAATACATGGTGTACAATAGGAGATCAGGAGACTGACACAGGGGGAGAGTAATACATGGTGTACAATGGGAGATCAGGAGACTGTGACCTAGGGGAGAGTAATACATGGCGCATAATGGGAGATCAGGAGAGTGTGACCAAGGGGGAGAGTAATACATGGTGTACAATGGGAGACCAGGAGACTGTGACCCAGGGGGAGAGTAATACATGGTATACAACGGTAGATCAGGAGACTGTGACCCAGGGGGAGAGTTATACATGGTGTGTACAATGGGAGATCACAGGAGACTGTGCCCTAGGGGAGAGTAATACATGGCGTATAATGGGAGATCAGGAGACTGTGACCAAGGGGGAGCGTAATACATGGTGCACAATGGGAGATCAGGAGACTGTGACCTAGGGGAGAGTAATACATGGCGCATAATGGGAGATCAGGAGACTGTGACCAAGGGGGAGAGTAATACATGGTGCACAATGGGAGATCAGGAGACTGTGACCCAGGGGGAGAGTAATACATGGTGTACAATGGGAGATCAGGAGACTGTGACCAAGGGGGAGCGTAATACATGGTGCACAATGGGAGATCAGGAGACTGTGACCTAGGGAGAGTGTAATACATGCTGTAAAATGGAAGATCAGGAGACTGTGACCCAGGGGGAGAGTAATACATGGTGCACAATGGGAGATCAGGAGACTGTGACCCAATGGGAGAGTAATACATGTTGTACAATGGGAGATTAGGAGACTATGACCCAGGGGGAGAGTAATACATGTTGTACAATGGGAGATCAGGAGACTGTGACCCAGGGGGAGAGTAATACATCCTGCACAATGGGAGCTC